ACCAGCTCAACATTTGTCAACAAACACGACACAACTGAGCTCTGCTTGTTATGCATGACCTCATACATGTGTGTGTGTGTGTGTGGGTGTTTTTTTTGGGGGGGGGCGGGGTGCTGGTTTTTATTTTAAATAGCCCCACTCTTAGGTCACAGTAGTGTGGAAGTGCGTTACCAGTTCGCTCACCTACGTGTCCTGAAATCCGTCAAGAACGGTTTGCTAATTTCACACCCCGATGACCCGTGGCGGCGACAAAAATATCAATCCCATCATTGCCTGCGTCGAAAAAGGTGTTCCAAAGGTGAAAAATTAGGAAAAACAATTTTTTGCGTCTGTGAACCCCCCACACACACACACAAAATGCCGCTGTCGTAAAAGACCCAGCGAAAGCGGGCTTACTCTCAGCGCGCCCCTGCGACCAGCGCTCCGGCGGCGCTTTTCCAGGAAGAGGCTTTGCTGATTGTTTCTTCCAGGAAGGCTTTTTTGTTGGCCGATCAGCGCTTATAGGAAAGACGTTCGGGGCCGGCCCATCAGCGCCAGTATTGTCACAGCCGCTTCTGATAAAGCCAGAGCGGCTTCCAGGAAAGCAGAGATTTACCCTCCAAGCATTCCATCATTCCTTCAGCGCCATCACTGCGCGGAGAAAAGGGGGAGGGAAGGCGAGTGGGGGTATAATAGGGATCTGGATCAATAAAAACCATATGGCAAGCATGCGCTGACTCTATAGTTGAACGTGCGCGTTATTGTACAGCCGCCAAGTGTTGACCCGCAGCTCGCTATGGTCACTGCGCCGCCGCGCTCGCTCAAACCGCATCGTGCCTCGTTATTTGGACTGTGCACGCATGCCTTGCTTGATTTGATTTTCAACGCGATGGCTCACAAGGTGATGTTATTTTGCCCATGTGATCATTCATACCGATGCCGATGCTTGGTTTGATTGAAAGTGGAAGACATTAAAAAATTGCTCTGAATGATGATGAAATGTAGCGATGGCGATTAAAAAAAATGAATCAGTGATTGTGAAAATGGATTGTATTTACAATGTTAAAAATGCACACTGTTCATTTAACCCTTACGGGGACAGCGGTCACTTCAGTGTACGGTTTCTGCTGCTCGTTAAGTGTGTCCTCACCGTCGCAACTCAAGTTTCTGTCGCGACTTCAGTGTACTTATTTTTTTTTTTCACGCTTGGTGGTGGTAATCGTCTCTTCTCTTGCCATTGTTGGCGGAGCAATCAAAAAAACCTGCAGACCTGGAATGTTTTATGTCAATTTATGCGGCTCCGGGTTCTCTCAGCCGCCCCCCCCCCTCCACATTAGATTTTGTGTGTGAACTTTGGCCGTGACAGGGGTTTTCGAGTGGATGAAAATGGACCGGGATGCTGGGAACGCCGGGAACACTCCACTCAAAACAAACAGCGCTTCCCAGTCGGAATACTTTTATTTACCTCCTCCTCCTCCCTTTCTTCTGCATTAATGCGAGGGGGGCCACGCTTCGTCTTCCCGTTAGGAGAAAACAGGGGGTCCTCTGTTGGTGTGTGCCTGTGTGCGTGCAGCATAGGAAGAGCCAATCACAGCGCGGTATAGACACTGAGCCCCCCAAGTACTGCCGGTTTATAGGGTTCAGCTGCAGAGAAGTCACGTGACTTCCCAGAGAGAAACAGAGAAGGGGGGGTGACGATGTGGGGGTAAGACTGATGAAAAAGAGGAGTGAAAAGGAGGTGACAGAAAGGGTGAAGTGAAAGTCTGGCGGAGCAACGACTGAATGAAGCGTGACAGGCCACTCAAGGTGACAGATGACTGAGCGAAGGAGGACGTCTTGAGTGAGCGGAGGCAATCGGCAAGGTCAGGGTAACCCTGGTTCTGGCGAAGGCCCGGGTGCCCTTCCTGGAAATGGCGCGCTTGCTCGTATGAAGATGATTCACAAAATTGACATGAAATGCGTCTTTCCCCTTGAAGTGATGGATAAGTAGTTGCAAGGAAAACACTTGAAGGCTTCTGTGGAAACACTTTTCATCCGTTTGTCCCGCCGCATATGAGCAGCCATTCATCACCGCTGGATTCGGATCAACTATAATGCAGTGTTACTCAACAATTACTGAACCAAGGCCGCATATTTCACGTTTGGAAAAGAAAAAACATCTCACAGCAAACCACCAAACAAAATTGTCCCAAAAATATATCCGCTGAAATAATGATCGTCTCAATTTATTCTTTTTGTTGACGTCGTGTGAAATCTGGGCCTGTTTAACGTGAACACAAAGCTCATTCTCTTGTGTGGAGACGTTGGTTAAAAGTACATTCTACCATCAAGTGGGAGATTTTTGTTCTCATCAAGTCAAATTTGATTCTTAATGTTTTACATTTTGGACATTTATGCTTCGGATTTGTGGCAGGAATTTAGAAAAAAAAACAACTTTTGTGCCCCGTACATTTGAATTCGAGCGTTGTTTCCCAACTATTGTGCTGTGAGCGACTAGCATTAGCCACTTTCCCGATATCACTTGGTGGGAAGCACGGATGTAGACCGACCAATCATACGCTTGAAGCTTCACATCATCGACCAATCACTGATCCTCTCTGTGTTGTGACATGCGATGATGCGGAAGTGACTTCACCAACCAATCACAGTTTGCGGTGTGCGATAATTGCCTGCCCGCGGTTGCGAACGGCAAACTTTCGGTCATGATGTCCCAATACTTTTGTCCACACTTTACGGGACGTGTGACACATTCTCAGGGCGGGACACGCTGATTTATGCCACTTTGGGAAATACCCTGGAAAAGCGCGTGCACATGTTTGAGTGTGGTTGTGGATTTTTGTGCGAATATGTTTGTGCGTTCCTGTGTGTATGCGCCTGAGTCAATAAGCATGCGTGCGTGTGGTTGCGTGTGAATACGTGAAAGCGTGGTCGTGTGTGTTGGTGCAAATAGAGTGTTTGCGTGAGCGTTTGTGTCACTGAGAATGTTTGTGCAATAGCGTGTGTGGGAAGGGGTCGCGTGTTTTGTTGTAAGTGTATGCGCGTGGTGTGTCCTAACGTGTGTTTGCGTGTGGATCATGTTAATTTGTGTTTGTGTGAGTGAGTGACATGAATGAGGTGGGGTGGATGGGGGACTTAATGTGAACCAGATGTGCGCGCGTTTCAAGCACTGTTGTCAACACCTTTTAAAAAAAGAGCATCTTTGTGTTTGTGTGTGCGTGCGGGTGTGTGAAGACTTCCCATAAACACCTGCTTTTGTCGAACAAGTGATGGTAAAAGAGAAGCAATGAAGGGATTGGTGGTGGTGGTGGTGGTGCGGGAGGGGGTCTATTTCGGGCCCCCCGGCAGGCTTTATGGTTATTGAAAAGGCGTTGCCGTCTCCTCGCTGCTTCTTCCCAGAAAGGGGGTCAATATTTCTCCTGCTTGATTTCTGCCTTATTCAATATTTTCTCTGTGTGCCATGAAAGACGCTGGCCACAAAGACTCGAGTGTGTTAGCGTTACGCAGCTGGATGGCCCATTACATTACAAGCAGACACGCTTACTGGCACTGCACACAAACACGCGCACAGGCGCGCGCGCGCGCACACACACACACACACACACACGCACACACTCTTATCAAGTGATTAGAATCTCACGAGAGTGGGAAGCGTGTGCGTGCGCGCGCGTGTGTGTGTGACAGGAATTCACGAGTCCCACGCCAGCTGATATTTTGACATGTGCAGCATGCAAGAGTGTCAGTGTGTGGGTCAATGGTAGGTGGTCAATCGTGGGTGCTAGAAAGCCACCACACCACTGACACTGGTCAACATTACTCTCATATTTGTCGAATTTAATAGATCAAATTATATTTGCTACACTATTGTTTCCTGTATACATACTGGATGTCATAGTTGTAAGACACAAAACCAGAAACATGGATATTAATTATATAGTACACATTATTCGTTGTTTTCCATTCGTATTACTGTTAATAGGAGGCTACTAAATTAGTCGACAAATATTTTATTTTCCAAAAGACCATATTTTTTCTATCAAACAAAATGACTAATTACAAACGTGGAAGGTAACGTATAACTTTAAATTTGATAATGGGTGTGTGGCGCCGTCTTGTGGACAATATTGGTCGGTGCAACGTTAACCAGCTTTTCGGTCATCCATTAACCGTCCTGCAAGCTTTCAGTGATTCTCGATCAAAGTTCAAACCGCGTTGATGTTGACGCTGCGGCTGCAGCAATGTCCCTCAAAACATTTTGTACCAGGTTTCATATTTGGGGTCGAACCGTCGCTCGACGAGATGCCAGCAAACGAAGTTACTACAACAGCGGGAGCTCCCGACTCCACGAGCCTGGCCGGGCGGCTCATGTCCGCGTTGTGGACCTCCGCAGCGACACGGTGACCAAACCCGGAGCGGCGATGCGCCGGGCCATAGCTGAGGCCGAAGTCGGAGACGATGTGATGGGCGAAGACCCGACAGTGAACGGTAAGCTTTCAATTACTAGTTAGTTAGTTAGTTAGTTAGTTAGCAGGGAACCTGCTAGCACCGAGCACTAGCTTCACTCAGTGCCTCAGTGCACAAGTCACTCACACTCTTTATGAACATACATTTGACTTTCAGAGTTGCAGAAGATTGCAGCCGATATGTTTGGGATGGAGGCGGCACTTTTTGTCCCCTCGGGAACGATGAGTAACCTCATCGCAGGTAACACATTGATCTGAAATATTGTTTTTAGCGGGTGTGAGGTTTAAATGATCATCGTGGGTCGTTTATAGCGATGGTGCACTGCAGGGAGCGCGACGATGAGATGATCGTTGGTGACCTATCCCATTTGCACATCTACGAGCAGGGGGGCAGCGCGCAGGTGAAATACATCTCTCTCTCTTTCTCTCTCACACACACACACACACACACACACACTCTCTCTATGTGTGTGTCTAAATATCTAAATATACTGTATATATGACACAGCTGGCTGGCATCCATACTACCACAGCCACCACCCTCGCCGATGGGACCTTGGACCTGGACCAGGTGGAGTCCAAGATCCGTCACGGCTACCCAGACCCCCACTACCCCCGCTCGCGTCTCATCTGCGTGGAGAACACGCACAACATACAGGGAGGACGAGTCATGCCGCTCCACTTCCTGCAAGAGGTGAGTGAGCCCATATTGTTGTTGTGGCGGTGGGGGGGTTATTTACTCACCTGGAGATGTGAGGGCTGCTGTTTTGGTTAGCAGTTCCCTCCTTGACATCCGCATGTGCATCCTCCTCTCCAAAGGTGCGAGCGCTGGCCGACAAACACGGCCTGTCGGTGCACATGGACGGTGCGCGCCTGATGAACGCCGCCGTGGCGCTGGGGGTGCCGGCGGCGGACATATTGCAGCATACACACACTGTCAGCGTGTGTCTCTCCAAGGTGACACATTTCACAGCCGGATTTTTATTTACATGACAAAATTGTGATCTCTTCTCCATGTCACTAAGTGTAATTATTTTTTACGGCCACATGATGGTGGCATCTCCCTGTCTTTTTAAAGAATTTACAAGATGAGCGAATGCACATTAATTAATTATCGATAGGATTGGATTTAGGGGCATATCCTATAAATTGACTTGCAATGTAAATATTGATCCTACTCATCACGATATTACTGATAAATGGACTGAAGTGTGGAGCACACGTTGGTCAGCATAAAAATAAATACATATATGAGAATAAAATTAAAACATAATATTTTCAAAATCAGCAAGTTTACTGTTTGCACTGGGTGTGTTTTGAATGTTCAACAGGGACTGGGCTCCCCGGTGGGAAGCATGCTAGCTGGGCCCAGAGATTTCATCTCCCGGGCGGTGAGGTGCCGTAAAGCTCTGGGTGGCGGCATGAGGCAGGCTGGCATACTGGCGGCAGCGGGAAAAGTGTCTTTGCTGGACATGGTCGAGAGACTCCAAGAAGATCACCGCAACGCGAGAACCTTCGCTCAAGGTTTCTTTGAATTCCTCCTCTTCGTCCTGCTTTCCGCCGCCATCATAACGGCTTATTTGTTTTGCCTCTTGACAGCCTTGCAAACTTGCGAGCCGCCTCTGTTTGCCGTGGACATGGCGGCGGTGGAGACAAACATCCTGCGCTTCCAAATTCGAGAACCCGCCTTGAATCCGGCGGAATTCTGCGACCGCATGGCCCAAGTCGGGGACGGGGAGGAGGGCGCGCTGGGCCAGGGCGTTCAAGTCCTCATGTACCCTCATTTTGGCAATTGTGTCCGAGCCGTGTGGCATCTGGGGATATCGCCTGAAGACACGCAGCTGGCCATCAAAAAATTGCAATTTGTCGCACGTCACTGCTTGGAGAATAAATAATTGAGGGGCTTGAAAAATGTTTGTTAAGTGTCTCTTATCTTGAGAGAAGGACAACTGGAGAAACTTAAGGAGATTTATACTTCTTATTTTATTATTCATTTTGCTCACTCTGTAATGTGGTCATTGATTCATTGTAAATGATAAAATATATTTTTTAATGAAATTAAATCATATATACTGGAAAACAACTGATACCTTTTAATGTATTAAACAATTTGTTAACTGATTGAATTAATTGCACAGTATTAAATGAGCATGAATTTCAACTGGACCCAATTTATGTTCATAAATTTTTAAGTCTAAACTTTTTCCTTATTATGTCTTGATGACATCACTGTCAATGAAAAATGATAGCGTTAGAGGCGGTAAACGAGTATGTTTGCCATGATTTTTCTTCGTGTTTTTCGTACGATTGATGTAAAGAAAAGATTCTTGGCAGCGGTGGGATTCGAACCCACGCCATCGAAATGACTGGAGCCTAAATCCAGCGCCTTAGACCACTCGGCCACGCTACCAGCGGTTTCCTAGTGAAGAAATCATTATATTTACCTGCATTTTCAAAAATGTGCACGCGCAAACTATCCTTTATGCGTTGCTTTTAATCTGTATCGTGTGACTCATTAAACACAGTGAACGTGTTTTTATGTGTCAAATCGGTGGTTACGAAATGTAATGAAGCAGCAGGTCGGAGAGGAAGCAGAGACGGGGATAATGGAGTTGTTTTTTAAACGGCGACGTCGAGGACATGACGTTACAAGGGTTTTCTTAAAAATGGCTTTGAAAAGACAATTAACTGAAAAAGTACCACAAGTGGTTCGCCTTAAAGCAGTTTTCAAAGTGCAAGCATTTCCACAGCACAAATCGCTGTATTCACAAGGCTCTTCCCGGTTGTAATTTAAAAACCTTTTTCGTGATGGGGGGTGTTTAAAATCGTTCGCATTAACACATGTCACATTATTATTTTTGTGTCATTATGGGAGTGATCCGTCAAAGAAATTCGTCAAACTGCGTGACATCTGGTCGCCGAGAGGAAAGTGCTTTCGTTCGACCCGAGAGGAGAGCGCTTGTTCACACGCCCGTCACAAAGTATCAAGCTACAGGTTTGGTGGGTTAATTTCGCGCATGCATAGCATATTAGATGTATCTTGGTGTTCGTTTTGAGGGGCTTAGAGTGGGGGAGATTCTCTTTGCAGAATGCTGCAATCGAATATGGTGCATCCATGACAAGCATGGTCCATTTTTTGTCCCAGCTGCAGCACACTATTCAAAATGTGCAGAATCAGCTAACGATTGACGTACAACAGGGTGAATTAGTGGTTAGTTAGCACGTCTGGGTTCCAGTTTTGAGGTTCGCGTTCGAATCATGCATGGCTGCAGCCTTGCTGTCTGGGGCCACCACTGTTAATGACACACTGACACACAACGATCATGTTACAGCACTAAATGTCGCCCTTAAATATCCACCGAAGGCAAAAAAATATCCTCCAAATTGCTGTAAATATTATAAATAATATGTAATAAACCTATTAAATGTGAATTATATATTTTTTTATTTCTGAAATTGGAGACTTATTAGAGGAAAGACTTTGAAGTTGAACATGAATTTGATGTCAGTAGCGATACACACATATTGCTGCATGCTTTGAATGCGGAAAACAGTAGCGCCAAGTACTTTACAGTAGTTGGCATACTTTACAGTACTTACAACAGTACCGCTCAATGCACCTGAAATACAAACAAGTTTATTTATTCAAATAAATTGATCATTTCAGTTGCAAGCCGGTGTTCCACCACTTCCAATCACATCGTCTTTTTTTTTTTTAGCACACCAGTGGGCATAATGGAAGACGAGCTGATGTTCAGCATGGAGGAAGAGGGCAGCAGCTCCAGGTCTTCGGACAAAAGGTGCGCGCCCAAGCAGCGGGTGTCCTCGCTTACCGACGATGACGACGGCGAGGAGGACGAGACCTTCATCTGCTCCATCCTGGAGGACAACCCCGTCCGAGACATCTGCCAGTACATGCAGAACTTGATCAACAACCGCCAGCTTTCAAACTCGCTGCCCAAGACAGAATTCTTGTATAAGGTGAGGAGGCGTCGCCCCCCACGTCGTTTGTTTTCAATGATTTTAAATAGGAATTTTTTTGTCATTAGGAACAATTTTTTTTTTTTTTTTTGGGGGAGCGTGTGTAGGTTTGCCAAAGCATTATAGTTTGTCTTGTTGCATCATGTGCTATGCTGATGAAAAGTGGTGCATTTTTTTTTCCACCTTTCCCCCCCAACATAGAATCAAACAGAGCATTTGGCGGAAGGTTCGTACCACGTTTTGTCTGAGAATGCACGGGTATGTTATACCATTTCAATTACTATTCTGTACCGCCCCTTTACTACTTATCATATTTCCAACCTTCCTTCTTTCTTTTGTAATGCCTTTTTTCCCCCCTTTAACCGTCATCCTTGTTCAAACGTTTCCATTTGCTGTTCTATTCATCTGCATGATGTACGTTTTGGAACATTCCACCGACGACGGTTCATTAGGTACACCTGCACAAGAAAGGAGTCCTCAAGTGAATTTTGTACGAGACGTTGACTAGTTAGTTAGCGAACGTGGCAACGGACGAGGGAGACGTGCGCACTGCCCCGGGCGGTGAAGGATTAAATTACTTGACATGATGAGCGAACAACCCCGCCCTGCTGAGGAAGTTATTTTCAGACACGGCCGCAGTTCAATCCTCGACATCACACAGCGTGCCGTCCAACTTGCTGCCTCCTTCGTTGTAAACAAGTCCACCCCAGCGCTAGTTTACCTTAGGTGTGTCCCTGAGTTCATTGCGCCAATTAATTGACACACACACAAAAAAAAAACGGGAGGAGCAGTTTGGTGTGTTAATGCGAAATACTATCCGACATCTAATGACTGAGCGGAAGTTTAGTCCCAACCTAGCAATATTATAAAAAGTGACTCATTCATATTTGGATCCACTTTGAGGAAGTCAGTGCTTTCAAATCACTTACAAATGCCAATTATGAATGATTTGTTGCAGGGAAAAAAAAAAAGAGCGGCGACATTTTTTTTGCCGCATGCACCGAATGAGGAAATGTGACGCCGTGTGATGCGCAAATTTACAAAAAAATCGAAATCTGTTACCCCAGATTGAAATTCAAAACTTAAAAGACGGCATCGGTTTATGTCGGAATCCGAAAATGACGTTTTCAATGCTTTTTCTGAGTTCTTGCTCGTGTTTCCATCTAAACAAAAAAACAAGCTTATAAAATGAACTCATTTCACATTTACAAATGACCGCAATGTGCTTGTTACTTACTAAAGGAGACGTGGAAAAATGCCATCGTAAAGGCCAAAGCCATGCCGGACCCCTGGGCCGAATTTCACTTGGAGGACAAAGAGACGGAACCCTGCTTGCGCTACAGGTCAGAATAACCATCGGATTGATTTCTACGTCTCTGTGCTCCCAGCCAATGTCTCGACATTGAATTTGATCATCCTATTGACCAGAAAACGCCGGTATCTGAGGCTTGCCTTTATGCAGAAAACATTTGTTTTCAGTTCTTTCACCAACATGGAATGCAGACGAGCCTTTCGGTCGGCTTTCTAATCCCAAATCAACCTCGGGGGATCTCTGATGCAAAGCGGTCCCGCTTGTAAGCTGATCTCATGAAAAATGCGTCCTCGGGACTGTTTTCCTCACTCGTCCACTTCTGCCGCAAGAGAAGACAACAATTTTAGAGAGGGGGAGGGGGGCGGTGTCGCGTGTCATTTTGGTCCTCTTTGTGAACAGGAAATGAATGGAGCAAATTTACAATGTGAAGTGCAAAAAAAAAAATAGAGTTGGTCCGCTGACCTCCTTCCTTTTTAAAGTCTTGGCGAAGAGGAACTGCTGCGGTATGACCGCGTGAACAGGAAATAACTTAAAAGCATTTGCCAATCGATGAAAAGTTTTTCCTTTTGAGGTCAGCAAGAGCAGGGCCTGCGCGGAACCCCACAAAGCTTCAGCGCTGGCTCACATCTGGCCGTGCGCGCGCGCGCGCCACATCACGCCATTGGCAGACGCACAATGCAGGAGGGGTTTATTTCGCTGAGTGCACGATTCGCATTGAATCGCTTATATAAGCCACAGTCGAGCGAGGGGGAGTGGCGGCTATTCATGTGCTAATTTTACTCTCCCCATCCTCCTCCTCCTCCTCCTCTTCTTCTTTCTGCCCACTGGTGTGACGGGGCGCAAAACGGCACATTGTGTTCCCGGCCTGATGTGGTTTCTCGAGGCAAAAACAAAAATGTAAAACCTCTGTTGAGTCGAGCGGCGCTCCGACATTCTGAACTGTGTTTGTTCATTTCCACGAGGGCACGCCCGAGGTCCAAAACAAACAGGCGCGCTAGCCAGGTGGTATGCGTGCACGCAGCAGGGGGGCAAAGTTTAACGTGGAGATAATGCAGTGCTTCACTTGCTTCATGAAGTGCGGATGTGTTTTATGAAGAGCATAACAAATGTATTTTCAGCATCCCCTTTAGTTTTATGAATGCAGTTTAACCCCATTGATATATATAAAACAATCTCCCTTTAGAAAAATGGAAAAAGAAAACTTTACATGTATTGATAAATAGCACTTGTAAATATACAGTCTACTACAAAAAAAAATGCTTTTTGATCACAAGGAGTCCAAATTCTGAATCCATCGCAGGTATAACGCGATCACGGGCGAGTGGGCCCAAGATCGGGTCCACATCAAGATGGCCGCCCAGGTATGATCACACGTCCCGAAGAAAGACGTTGCTTGCAAAGTACAATTGATTTCAAACCTGAATATTTTTCTTTCTGTCACAGCCATTTGGCAGAGGAGCCATGAGAGAGTGCTTCAGAACGTAAGTGCAACTATTTCCTGGGAGTGTTCCAGTGTGTGTGTGTGAATGTGTGTGTGTGGCCGGGAAATCGGGGGTCTTGGTGACCCAGGCTTCCAAGCAATTCCATACAAGGCGTGAATCTATACCCATAAAGATGCTTAAGCTTTTGCACGGAGACTTCCAGACCCAACGAAAGTAAGTTCCCACAATAGAGCCAGCGGTTGTCAGGAATAAGACTAGCAAGAAAAATTTGAAACTAGGTACTGGAGAGTAAAACGTTTCCATGACTGAGACACCAAGCATCAAACAACTTCCAGCTATGGTTGTTCAACCGACGTGCGGAAGGCGCGCGAGCGCTGGCACTCGTATGCTCCATTTCGTGTCCCAGCTGGTTGCGGCGGCGGCGGCTTCCCCACCCACATCCCGATCACCTCCAGTTTTAGGTGTGGCCGCATTCTTTCGTTTGATTGGTTAGTTCCTGACATTTTGCCGCTCTCCCGTCTCTCCGTTGCGTTGGAATTCAGCGGGCGTGGGAATTTCATCTACGGAAGCTTTCGCAAAGCTGCCCAGGTACATTTCTGGGTTTCCACCACAGTGACGCGTCAACGTCGAGGTCGTGCGGCACCACCATGGAGGTCTCCCGGAGTAAAAATCAAATTTGCTCCTATCTGCACGCTTTTGCCTTTCAGCGGCTATTACAACAAACTGTAAAAAGTTCAACCTTGAACCACATCATAGCACCTTGAAGGCTCTAAAAGTGGTCTTGCCTCGTAGGAAGAAGCTGTCCAGCTTCTCGCACAGCCACAACTGGAAGATGGCCTGCAACTACGTGGCCAAGCGCTACATGGAGACGGTGGACAGGAACGTCTACTTTGAGGACGTGCGTCTGCAGATGGAGGCCAAACTTTGGGGCGAGGAGTTCAATCGCCACAAGCCTCCCAAGCAGGTAGATGAGACAACCCCCCGACTCCCCCCATCGCATGAAATGCAATTGGAGACGCGGGAAACTGTAACATCTGGGGAAAAAAATGTGTGGGCTAGGTGGACATCATGCAGATGTGCGTGGTGGAGATGACCGAGAGGCCGGGCAAACCACTCTTCCACCTGGAGCATTACATCGAGGGCAAGTACATCAAGTACAACTCCAACTCGGGTTTCGTGAGGGACGATAACATCAGATTGACGCCGCAGGTGAGAGCGTGGTCATCGTGGAAAAACGCCGCATTGTATTCACACTTTCCGACGGAATTGGAATTGTAAGATGCAATCTGTTGTCTTTTGTCCGTCAGGCGTTTAGCCACTTCACCTTTGAGCGTTCGGGCCACCAGCTGATCGTGGTGGACATCCAGGGCGTCGGCGATCTCTACACCGACCCTCAGATTCACACAGAAAAGGGAACGGACTTCGGCGACGGGAATCTGGGTATGTCTCTCCCCTTTTTTATGTTCGGGGCATCATGCGCGGTGAAGTCAGGAGTCTTTACGTCACCAGGCGTGCGAGGGATGGCGCTCTTCTTCCACTCGCACCTGTGCAACAAGATCTGCAAGTGCATGGGCCTGACGCCTTTCGACCTGTCCCCGGCCGAGAGCCAGCAGCTGGACTGTACCAACAAACTTCTGGTTGGCGACTCGCCCTCACTCGCACCTCCCGCCATCCCGTCGCAGCTTCCGATCGCGTCAGCTCTCCTGACGTTTTCCCTTCTCTCTTGTTAGAAGTCCGCAAAGACGGTGCTGAGAGGCTGCGAGGAGCAATGCGGTTCCCCCCGCGTCCGCACCATGTCCGGGAGCCGGGCGCCGCCGCTGCTGTCCCGCCTGTCGGAGACCTCGTCGGTCGACGAGAGCATGAGTGACGTGGACTCGGTGCCTTGCTCCCCGCTGGTGGCGCCCGTGTGCATGTCAAGGTCTCCAGCCGGTGTGTATGCTAACCAGACATTCCCGTAACGCGACGAAAATAAAAAGTAACATTACGCTATTATGTCCACTTTGTACAGAAAAGACTAATCTAATGCGAAGTAATCACACTACAGTTACTCATAAAAGTCACTGAAAGTTACTTTGTAATTATTATATTGCAAAAACAAAAAGGTCGCACATCGATCTCCTTTAAAATGGCTATTCGTTGGAAGGTGCAATTGCAGTCGATCGCCACCAGATGGCAGCAGTGAGAAACATTTGACAAAGGCAGATTAACAAATAACGACATTATAGAACACGTAAAAAAATGAACTAAAGCGTTTACAGATTGAAGTGAAGCATTCTCGGACTTCACAATTTAGCACTGGACTCTGGGGGAGTGACGTGTTTCTGCCCCACGTCACATTTTCAGCATGTGAACAACTCCCATGTTCACAAAAATAACAACGGAGGAAGGAGAGAGATTTGCGTCTTCAAACTCGATAATCCACTCACTAAAAATGATTATTTTAGATTTTATTCCTAAAAAAAAATTCAATTTTTACAGGCTTATCCTTCACTGGGATGTACGAACAGGAACGACTCGACAATGCAGGGGAACACAGGGTAGGAAATTCAACTTTTGAGCCATTAGGGTGGAGTCCACTGAGCTGAAGTCTCACATTTTTTTGCGGTCTGTGTATGTAGGAGTCAGACAGCGGCGGGGACAGCGGCTACCCCAGCGAGAGGAGGAGTGAGGGAGACCCCAACGACCACGCAGACGGGGTAAACGGTCCAACGTATTGATGCATTCTGAAGCCTGTTAGCGTCCCCCCCCCCTGCTACTTTTGTGTATTTCATTCTCATTTCTTCCCACGGCAGTCGTTTTTGATGCATGTCCTATCTCGAAACGCTGTAGGCCCGCCACCACTACCAAAGACATTATTCCGAGTCGGACGAGGACAGTGTCAGACGGGTAAAGCAACATACGAGACGCCGGTGTGCCACATGTAATCCTCACCGCGGGAGGTCAAACGACCTCTCTCCATTGCATCTCCTTCCACTCATTCCTCTTTTAACCTCACAATCCAAACATTTATCATGTTGCTCCACTAGAGGGCGCCGGTTGATATACCAAGAGCCTCAGAGATCTTAAATCCAAACCAAGAAGGGGTGATTCCGCCCCCAACAACAAACATGGCATGTCTCTGTACAGTGTCACAGAGCACAAATACACAATACGGATGAAAGTTTTGGGTCAGCGTTGCACAAAAATGGAAATCACTCATGTTTGAGGTCAGGATGCTCAGCACGCGAACACGCATTGAAGAGCAACTTGAGAACGTGTCCAAAAATGTCTTGCTAATAAAAGCCTGTCCCAAGACTTTTGTCCATGTCGTATCGATCCTGCATGAGAGATTTGGTTTTAATTGCACTGGACAGAAAAATCAAAAGGCAAACCAACCATCGACCTCTCCTGTTTCCATGTACTTGTTGCTTTGTGTGTGTGTGTGTGTGTGTGTGTGTGTGTGTGTGTGTGTGTGTTTTTGCATTTTTCCCCATTCCTCTTGTGTGATTTTTTTTTCCCATTCATACCAACAGGGATGTACTCTTCAAGTTGATCAAGTCGAGGGGTACAACCCTGCACATTGAGTTTCATCGATGGGGACCCACGTGAAGAATTCGCCGATAAACCGTTTTTGTGTTTGTGTGTGTGTGTGTGTTTTCCACACAGCTGACCGAGGAGAAGTGGAGCTTCTTCCACTCATCGCGCGCTCACGTGCACAGATCCTCCTGCGTGGCCACCGAGGTGGAGCGACTCAGTTCGCTGATGCAGAAGCACATCGGGCAGTCCATCCTGGGGAAGGTGAAAAGACACGCTTAAAAATAATCCACAGTGTCCAAAAAATATAAGTCCACGTCCACATATGGTATGTCTGATTATGCAATCGGGCCTCTCGCCATGGTAACAGTGCCCTTTGCAGAAGAGGACGAAGCGGAAGAGTAGTTTTCATTTTGAGATCTGAACATTCCTGGTGTCCAGGTTCACCTGGCCATGGTGCGCTACCACGAGGCGGGACGCTTCTGCGAAAAGGACGAGCAGTGGGACGAGGACTCGGCCATGTTTCACCTGGAGCGAGCCGCCCAGTGCGGCGAGCTGGAGGCCATCGTGGCCATCGGCCAGTGCTGCCTGCAGCTGCCCCACCACATCCTGCCCAACATGGAGCTGGAGGTACAAATTCCTCTTCCCCCGGCTCCGTTTTTCTCTCTGACCATCGCTTGACTGTTGAAATCGCGGTGTCGCTTTCAGGAAAGCGCAGGAAACAAAATGAAAGGCTTCAAGTACCTCCTGCAGGCTGCCGAAGCCGGCGACAGATCTTCAATGATCACGGTGGCCCGAGCTTTTGACACGGGAGTCAATCTGTCAGCTGACAGGTGAGTTCTGTGAGGCCTGTGCCTCCGTTTGTGTGAAGGTACTGCCCCCTGGTGGAAATTCTCTGCTATTGTTCCCTGATTCCCAACCAAGTTGCCAAGACATCATAATCTCATCATATTTTAATCGAATGCTGGTCACACACGATTGTGCAAAAATATTTCTACAGCGTGTACGTAGCCTCTATGCTATCGCTTTACGTTTTCTTCATCACAACAGACAGCAAGACTGGGAGGAGGCGATCCGCTGGTACGACAGCGCGTTGAACATGGACGAGCACGACGAGGGCGGCGAGTTCGACGGCATACAGGATGACCCTCGTTACCTCCTGCTGGCCAGAGAGGCCGAGATGTTCATGGTGGGGGGCTACAACCTCGCCGCGGACCCCCAGAAAGCAGGTAGAACCACAAAGAGAAGCCATGACAATACAGTCGTGCAGCGGCGGGTCATTTCTGTTGTCCTGCATTTGCAGTCTTGGCAAATTTAAAATCTCGGCCGCTGAGGTATGTTTCCCCCATGACCCTTTTAACCTTTCGCATCATTCTCTGCAGGCGATCTGTTTACAGAAGCCGCAGAAGCTGCCATGGAGGCCATGAAAGGGCGCTCGGCAAACCAGTACTACATGAAAGCCGAGGAGGCGTGGGCGCTGATGGAGGAGTAACGGCACTCGTTGCGCACTTTTACCACCCAAAAATTAAAAAAAAAAAAAAAAGTTTCATATGTCCTGCCAGATGCTGAATGGGTTGCGTTTACATATTTTTTTATATAACAGGTTTTTAGCTAACGGTGCTTTGCGTGACTATGCATGTTTAATCCTTTCACCATTTAAGATTCTTCAAATCTTCAGCGCAAGATTCTCTTTTTTCGGGGAAGTTACTCTTTTATTGTTGAGTTTGTATTCTGTGAATGTGGTCCGTGGAGCCAAAAACAATCCAATTGTTTACTTAACACATTTCTGTTGGAAGAGTGTGTCTAAAAAAAAAAGATATCATTAAGTGACTGTTAAAAAAAAAGAAATAAAGTTTGCATTGAATTTTATGAGTCAATATTTTTTTATTATTTTTAATTCTAGGTATTGTGGGAATTTTGAATGATAGGTTGTGTGGCTGTAGTCCGTTCCACTCTTCCCAGACAAGCCGTGCGGGTGCATTGCTCCCCCCACAAAAAAGTCCTCTCCTATGGATTCTCCTCTTTTACTCACTCCGCACGTTTTCAATGGGGTTGAGGTCTGGGGACTCAGATGGCCATGGGGGCAGCATGATTCTGCATGTGACGAACCATTTCTACAATTCTCAGGACGAGAGTTCCCTTCTGCAAAAACTGGTTTCATTTTACACACACGCAGATATGAACCGGGGGTGCCAATGATTATAGAGGTCACTTTACATCAAACTGGATTGCAGTACCATGACAAATGACAAGGACCAAGATGAAAGTCAAACAACAAATTTTAATATAGAACATCCCATAACACACCCAGGATATAAAAGACAAAAAATAGAGATTAAAGAGAGGATACAAACGCTATATTATAAAATCAGCACCCGTTAAAATGGCGCCCTGGCTCTTGAGCTGAGAAACCCGATTTTGTATGATTTTGAGACTTTTGTTTATCCATCTTTGTTTTTTGTTTTTTTCCATTGCATAACGTCTTTTGAGTTTTCTTTATGTACACATGAGGTAAGTGCCGTACGTATCGGTAGCGTGGCCGAGCGGTCTAAGGCGCTGGATTAAGGCTCCAGTCTCTTCGGAGGCGTGGGTTCGAATCCCACCGCTGCCATAATTTTTGGGACTCGATGTTGTGCAAACTCACAATGCACATCGTCAACCATAAAAACGCCCCCCCCCCCCGCCCCCCACTTCTTGACAACACCCCAAAAGTGACACACCTGAAAATGATCACGGTTGACTACTCGCTTTGCATTGTGGGCTCGGCCTCGCTCCCCACGTGTCGGCTGTGGATCCGCGTTAACATGGTGCCCGCTTCATGTGCGTTCGCTCTCCTCTTTTCTCTGCGGCGTCCAGTTTGTCGGACAAATGACACGCTGGTGAGATAGCTCGACACACTCGGCTCGGTGCAGGTAAAGTATTTCGTTTTGGTGTGATACGCTACGGGACTAATTTACGCTTCAAAGCAGCCCCCCACCCCCGTCAGCTCGCCCAAATGTTATTTCAACCGGCATGTGTGAATCAAAGCTAGGTAGCTATGCTAAAGTTGCTAACCAGCGGCGACTTCCAAGGTTGGAGCATTTCGTCACGTTTACGTGTGTTATTCGAACATATTGTTCTTAAGTGTGGTTCGTTTAGCGGGTTTTGCAAACGCACGTAGTGTGGTATTTTTGGACGTTATTTACTAGTTTGGCCGACTTTAGTGCAGGCCCGCCTGACAATTTGCTGTGTTTTGCTAATGTGCTAACCCACACCGAAATATATATATGCATTTTGCGGAATAACGACTCGAAAAAAAGCCTTAAAATCATTAATTGTTGCCCGGCGGTGTAAGTTAGAATGTTTGAACGTGTTTAGACCTTGAAGAGTGATTCGATTTCACGGTCTTGCATCACCTGTTTTACCTCATTAGTAGCGTTTACCTGATTCTATTAGCATTCCAGCACTGAGTCATCACATGAATGTCGTGTTTAGACATTAAAATGCAACGTTCCGACGCATAACAGTTGATTTTCTTGCAGGTGAAACATCGTTTGAGCTGCCACGGCTCACAGATTTGGGGGGAAAATGTTCCACTGAAGCTTTTAAAACTGACGTGATGGAAAATTTGAGTTTTTAATGTTTGTATGCAAATAGTTGTTTCTCTGTAGTGCTTGGCCACATATTAAATGTGGCAAGTAAAACGTTTATCTGGACACCTCTGAATAAGTGTCTACTGTATGTGTTGCACCTCAGCCCAATAATGAGCATAACCACTAACACACCAAGTTTCTCTCCCAAAGTTTGGAAGCCAAAGAGCCACTTTGACATGGTGGCCCCTAAAAAATTGTCTGCCTGGGAGGTCATGGTGTCTGTTTGTTGATGTCTGCCTCAACGCTTCATTGCATAATGTGGACTTCAAGGGCCAGGTGATAAAATGCAACATATTATGCAATGGGTGCACGCTCACTCACTTGGAATAAACTTAAAAGTCCGAGCGACTGAAATAATTTCACAGTGACGAAATGGTGCATCACATGAAATCATGCAAAGAAAAGCAATGGCCGCTCGCTTAGAGTGAGATAAGTTTGTCATAAATGACACTTAATTGCTTTGTGGAGTTGTTGTCTTAGGGCAGTCGTCTTAGTTTCTCACTGTGAGCTCTGCAACGAGAAGGCCTCAGGGAAGTGCCGGACGAGATCCAGGCCACTGGTTGTCAATCTAATGAAAGCAGACCTTGTCATTGGCCAAGCAGGATAGGATGTGGTCTGCCCCTGCAATGAGCCACTTTCACCAGCAAGAAATAACATTGGAAAATTCTCTTGATTCTTTGTTTTGACAAAAGTATGTCACAGACATGTTTAACCGTATTAAATTGTCTAAAATTATAGACATTGTGTCTCCTTTTGAAAGGTTGGATTCACTCTCCCTATACCTCCTGACTCCGCTTGCTAAAATATGGCCAGCGGGGATGACGACGACCCCATTATAGAGGAGGTATGTGCTCACGGGAAGATTAAACATTCTTGCTGTTGACTCAATCAGCACTGATCACTTTTTTTTTTCCTTGCCACTCCAGATTGACGTCTATCTCGCCAAAAGCCTAGCTGAGAAGCTTTATCTACTACAGGCGGGTGTCGTTGGTTTTGCATGGAGGGTAAATTGGTTCCCTCTATAAACTTTTTTTTCTCCCGTCACAGTACCCTGTGAGACCATCCACCATGACCTACGACGACGTCAGCCTTTTGGCTGCCAAGATCAAACCCAAGCAGCAGCGGGTAGAAAACAAACCTTTGAATCCATTCGTGCCTTTTTCTTAAGCGATTCCAGAAAGACTTGATTGTGACGCTGTCCTTGCCGCTAGGTGGAGCTTCAGGTTGCCATGGACACCAAGAGCCCAAACTACTGCAGCAGCAAGGGCGAGCAGATAGCGCTGAACGTGGACGGCACGGGCTACGAGGAGAACAACACCTATTCGGTGTAGGTTTTGTGGCGAAATGAGCCTTGCTCCAGAACATTTAGCGTTTCTCTTTTAGGCTGGGAAAGCCCCGCTTGATGTCCCGCTGTCTTACAAGTAACACAAGTGATGGATCATATTTTCACCGCTATTTCCATAGATTGGAGTGGGGGGTGGGGTAGTAAAAAAAATTACAATATCCATTAGCGTTTAATTGATATTTTTAACTAAAAATATATGTTTAGGCTTTGTCAGGATTGTACGAGTCTTATTTGTATAATAAAAAACTATATATTGCATTCACATATTTATGAATATCTATTTTTAAAAATATACTTAATTTTTTAAAAATATAAAACTTTTTATTGAAAATCAGTTTTAATAAAAATGTATCATTTCTATTACACTTGAAAACAAATTTCAAGAACGATAGAACTTTTTTTTTTTTTTTTACACATCAGCATGAAATATCTCTTCCTGTTTTTGCCAATGTTATATAATTTAACCCTGGATTTAACTTGGGACCGCTACATCCACACAACGGCTTTGCCCTTGATCTATGATTACACTATCTGGTTGGTTCGCCATTACCATCTTGTCAGTCTGCATCTGGAAGTCCCACAGGATCTTCGCTCGGTGATTCTCCACCATCTTTTGGAGGCGTTTCCCATTTTGACCTCGGGGTGTCCAGTCCATACTCCGGACAGATGTTTCGATAGACTATGCCAGCCTCCTGGTTATGTTTCCTGTAGGCTTTCCCTGCCAGCATCTTACACCCTGCGGTTATGTGTTGGATCGTCTCAGGTGCCTCTTTGCACAACCTCCACCTTGGGTCTTGTCTGGTATATCTGGGCTTCTATGGCTCTGGTGCTTTCAGGGCCTGCTCCTGTGCAGCCAGGATGAGTGCCTCTGTGCTGTCCTTTAGGCCAGCCCTCTCTAGCCACTGATAGGACTTCTTGAGATCAGCCGCTTCACTTATGGTCCGGTGGTACATCCCATGTGGCGGCTCGTCCTCCCATGATGGTCCCTCTTCCAGCACCTCATCCTCTGTTCCCCATTGAGACATTCTGTGTACGTCATCCGTCTGAGACTTGTCCTAGATGTATTCATGGAGCTTGGATGTTTCATCCTGGACAGTAGCTCTCACATTCACTAGTCCCCGGCTTGGGTACAGCCTCAGGGTGCTGCATTTGGGATGGAACCCTCCATGCATGGTTAGGAGCTTTCGGGTCTTCACATCCGTGGTCTGAATCCCTTCCTTTGGCCACCATTATTCCTGCATTGTATCTGATCACTGGCAGGGCAGAGCTGTTTATTGGCCAGGTCTTGTTCTTGCCATTGAGCTGGCTTCTTAGGACTTGCCTCACCCGCTGGAGGTATTTGGCTGTAGCCGCTTTCCTTGTTGCCAGAGGTTGCCGTTTGCAAGTGGTCTACCGAGGTACTTGTAGCTGTCCTCAATGTCTGCTATTGTTCCATCAGGGAGTGAGACCCCTTCAGTGTGGACTACCTTGCCTCTCTTAGTCACCATCCGACTCCCTTTCTCAAGGCCGAATGGAGGCTGCTGTGCTCCTCTGAGTCACCAGCCATTGTGCACTGCTGTTATGTGCGACCTCCTTCTCCCATATGCCTTTCCAGTACCTTTCAGTTTCCAGTCTTGGTGGGTCTGCTCTGCTGTTCGAACCCTGCCACTGAGTGTACACTTTCGCAGGTTGTGTTGCGAACAGCCTGTTTATTCGTCTGGCCTCATTCTTTCGTGTACCTCTTTAGGCGACTGGACAAGGCTTGGAGCCTTTGCTTGGCAGTTTCGAGTGCTTTAGGTATGGTCATCTGGATGTACCTCTCGGGTATCGGCCTTTTCATCACACCTCTCTGGGCATCCGTCAATTGACTCGCATCTTTCCGAGCCGCCTTGATCTTAGCCTCAGAGTGTCTTTTCCATCGCGGGTAACATATCTCATGGCTCCCATGGTTGCTCTTCTAGTCAAGCATCTCTAGGATCACTGATGCCGAAGCGTATATCGGCTCATTGGTTTCCGTGATCGTTAAGGTCGGGATTGCCCTCGGTGCTGCATTCAGTTTCCATGAGACTTTCAGGTGGTACTTCTACTAGGTTGTTAAAAGAAGCGTATACAAGTAACCCCGGAGCTGATGTCTTTTGTGCAGGAAAATGATGGACAATCAGATCTTCTCGTCCATCCAGGCCACCACCAACACTTCCCGATACGCCGCTGCCGTCTTCCGAAAAGGTATCAACTTGTTCTTTTTCTGGAAAAAAAAATGCAAATTGGGACCCGTGAGGAAAATCCCCAGAGGGACCCATTGTGCTCATCGAAGAACATCCCCTTTTTTACATGGCATTAAAAGAATTTAGTTCTATCAGATTCCGTACAATAGAAGTTTCGATGCAGCTTGTTGTTGTTGCCGCCGCCGTTGTTGTCCACAGGCGAGCTTCACATGACTCCGCTGACGGGAATCCTGCAGATGAGGCCCAGCTTTGCGTACCTGGACAAGGCGGACAACAAAACCCGGGAGAGAGAGGCGGCCAATGAAGGTGCGAGTTGACTTAAACGACCCCCTCCCGTGTTTTTTTATTTATTTATTTTTTTAACTCTTCCATATGTTGCATTCCCTTCCACGCAGCTGGAGACTCGTCCCAGGACGAAGGCGAGGATGAAGCCAAAGCTATTTCGGCGAGTGCTGACTTTCCCCCCGCCTCAAACTGATCAGTGGTTGAGCACCCGTGCACCCCTCAAGTATTTCAATGTATCGTGAAATTTCTTTTGATGAAATCTTATTCAAATACGGAGTAAGAATACAAAAATGATGAATTAACTTTGCTCAACTGCAGGCCTGTGCCTTTTCAGGTTCGCGGAAGCGTACAAAATGAGTCGGAGGTGGCGGCTTCCAAATTTCATATGCCCGGGTGGCGGCGGGGAAATTGAAATCAAACACTTATGCTGACTCAAAACGCATCACGATATAACTTCACGTCTACCCTGTTTTTTTCCTGCGCCCGCAGGTGAGATTTGCTCGGCCCGAGTCGGAGCAAGCGCGCCAGAGGAGGATCCAGTCTTACGAGTTCCTCCAGAAGAAGCAAGCCGAGGAGCCCTGGATCCATTTGCAGTACCACGGCGTCCATGTAACATGTCTTGACAACAACCGCTGCCCACAAAGTATTGTTTGAGTGCCACTAATGTGGGTCCACCATTTTGTATGACCTCAGGATGGGCGGTCGGAACACGAGAGGCAGTATTTGTTCTGTCAGCATGTGGACGCCTCTGACAACTCTGAGCTGGTCAAAACGCCCACGTGAGTGCTTTCAGGCTTCTTTTACAGCCAAGTCGCAGACAGGATTTCCTCACATTGTGGCCTTTTAGCCATTTATTTGCTCCACTTTATGGCAGATGTTTCTCTCCATCATACGGTTTTACTAAAATCTGTCAATAGGGAATTCAGTGGAGAGGGGGCTGATTTTACCGCCGTGAAAGAATAATGTGAATTTCAGAAAGTGCCCCTTGTTGCGTTTATTTGATGCCAGGTGTCTCTTTATTCACGTGATCAATTACGGTGTAGTGTTTTAGGACGTTATATTTATGGCAGACCCTCCATTAAATGCATCGGCACAATCGGAATCATCCAGTACAAGATGATGCCTTGTCTCCATTTTGATGCTGTCTTTTTTTAAAGTTTGGTTAGAACAATGAAAATTATTTTTTTGTCCTGACAGAGAGTACCTCACCATGCTGATGCCACCGCTGGCAGAGGAAAAAGTGTAAGTGTTCGTCTCTTATTTCGCATCGAATTTTTATTTTTATATATTTTTTAATTGACCTACGTCCTTATTCCCGTGGCAGCGTGAAGCCCATCGGCCCGAGCAACGTTCTCTCCATGGCCCAGCTGCGCACGCTGCCGCTCGGCGAGCAGATCAGGACGTTGATGAAGAACGGTGAGCTAACACGAATGAATATACAGTATGTATTCGACTCAGCGAGCATTTACATTTCCCAGAGGAGAATAAGGACTATTTGTTGTATGATTTCTTTTTTTTTTTGGATGAAAATGGGTTGCCTAAATTGTATGATTCACTATTTGTTTACTTTTATCAAAAAAAAAAAAATAAAAATATACTGCATTTTCCGCACTTTAAGGCGCACCGAAAAGTCTTCTATTTTCTTAAATGCTCACAAGCGCGCCATAAAATCTAGTTTCGCCTTGTGTATGGTCTGTAATGCCGACCCCAAGATGGCTCCTTGCTGGAGACATGCTTTCAATGTGATAACTTGCTGTTGGTTCAGTGAACTATGTCGCTGCTTTATTAAATTTTGTTGCAGCTCCGAAAAAAGGAGAGCTGTGGTGTAGGTTTTTTTTTTTTTTAAAAAACACTTAAATAGTTTTCAGTCTCAACAAATACAGCTACGTCTTTGTTCGTCTCCGTGCCGTCTCTTCTTCCGTTTGACTCGAGGCGTTCATGACCACCTCCGAAAAACGTAAATTAACAATTCCGTCAATGAAACTACGAAAATTTAAGATGCATCAAAACAGAATCACAAAATAAATTCTGTAGCCCCCCTACAGAATTTATTTTGTGATTTATGGATTTACAAAATAAATTCTGTAGCCCCCCTACAGAATTTATTTTGTGATTTCCTCATTTGTGAATACAGTGCACAACAAAGAATAAATAACAAACACTTCTGAGACAGTCCAGTCTCCTACATTTTACTGACATCTGATCGTTCTGTTGAAGCTACGCTCACAGAAATGCCCAAATAAATTCTGTAGGGGGGGCTACAGAATTTATTTTGTCGTTTCCTCACTTGATTTTCTGTTTTGATGCATGACTTAATTTTTGTCGTTTCATTGAAGTAATCGTCAATTTACGTTTTTCGGAGGCGGTCCTGTACCCCTCTCGAGTCGATCGGAAGGAGCTTAGCTCCATCTAATGGATGCATTGTAGTTTGCATCTCATAATCCAGTGCGTCCAGTAGATGGAAAAAAATGACAAAATAGGCCATTCATTGAAGGTGCGCCTCATACTCCAGTGCGCCTTTTAGTGCGGAAAATACGGTATAATATATAAAATAACAGCAAACATTGAGGACAGCTACATGTACCTCGGAAGCTCCTAACCATGCATGGAGGGTTCCACCCCAAATCCAGCACCCTGAGACTGTACGCAAGCTGTAAGGAAGAAGGCCGGGGACTAGTGAGTGTGAGAGCCACTGTCCGGGACGAAGCATCCAAGCTCCAAGAATACATCATGGCTCAGACGGATGACGTACTCGGAGAATGTCTCAGACAATGGGGAACAGAGGATGAGGTGCTAGAAGAGGGACCATCATCTGTGCGGAGTATGGACTGAAAACGCCTCCAAAGGTGGTGAATGACCAAGCGAAGATCCTGTGGGACTTCCAGATGCCGACTGACGATGGTAATGGCGAACCAACCAGATATCGTGACCATAGATCAAGGGCAAAGCCGTTGTAGTGGATGTAGCGGTCCCAAATGGAAACATCAGAAAGAAGGAACACGAGAAACTCGAGAAATACCAAGGGCTCAGAGAGGAGCTGGAGAGAGCCTGGAAGGTAAAGGTGACATTCGTGCCTGGGGTGGTCGGAGCACTCGGGGAAGTGACCCCCAAACTAGGTGAGTGGTTGCAACAGATCCCAGGAACATCGGACATCTCAGTCCAGAAAAGCGCAGTCCTGGGAACAGCAACTGCGCAGAACCCTCAAGCTTCCTGGCCTCTGGTAGAGGACCCGAGCTGAATGGGGGATGGACACCAGAGGGGTGAGACAAGGATTATTGTGTGTATATATTTTTTTAAGCTCACCTATCAACGTTTTGCCTTCGATGTTTGTTTTAAAAGGACAAAAGATTTAATGAGCGACGCGTGCCGTGTCGTCTTTGTTGCCTGCAGTCAAGGTGATCCAGTTTGCAAGCCTGATGGGCCTGCTGGCCTCAGGCACTGACGCCACCGCCGTGCTGCGCTGCATCCAACAGGTGGCGCTGCTAGTCCAGGGCAATTGGGTGGTGAAGAGGTACGAGGCGCAGCTAGTCTGTTAAAGTCGGAGACGGCTGGTTTGAATTCTTATTTATTTTTTTTATCCTTTCAGTGACGTTCTGTATCCCAAAAACACATGCAGTCCTCACAGCGGAGTTCCGGCTGACGTGCTGTGTCGGGGGCGAGACTTTGTGGTGATGAATTTTTTATCGTTTTTTTTTTTTTTCCCAAGCTAGTTTTAAATTTGCAACAAAAAAAGCGAACCAGAAAGATGATCCCTTCGGAATTGACTGGATTTCTTAGCGGCCTGTTGGTAAAATGTGATCTTTTACATTTTACCCCCCCGCCCTCCTAAAATTGTCACTGTGCAGATGTGGCGGTTTACTCTGGAACGCTCCCTGATGAGGAAGGAAGTGGCGGCCGTGATCAAAGTAAGCCTCTCGTCGTTGAATTGGTTTGGTGTTGCTACCTTACAAAGTCCTCAAACTTGATCATTCAGGTGAACGTGAGTGAGTGCTTCCTCTCCCTTCTTGCTCTTTTTTTTGCAGCTTCCTCCAGAGGATGTGAAGGATTTCCTCGAGCAGGTGGCGGTGCCACGTGTGAACCGCGGCTGGGAGTTCCTGCTGCCCTCCGACCCCGACTTTGTCAAGAAGCATGCCGACGTGGCCCACCGGCAGCACATGCTTTGGCTGGGCATCCAGAGCAAGTGGGTCGCGTCGCAAGTTTTGGCCAAGGGAAACGGACCCTTGACTTCTTTCAACTTTTTATCTATTTTTGGTCTTTTGCCTTTGAAGGTTGGAAAAAGTCTTCAACTTCTCAAAAGATGACTTTGTGCCAAAGAAGGCTCCCCAGTCTGGTATGTAATGAGCCGCTTCAGCCAGCAGCGAATCCTAATACGAGATGCTTCATCCATCATTGGAATGCTGAGAAGAATTAACGCCCTCCTCCCCCCCCAAAAAAGTAGTCGTGCCTCTGTGCATAACCCCGAAAAGTTACTGACACTCATAGAATCTTATAGATTATGTAAGGTGTTGAAAAGGCGCTTCAGTTGCTAGCATCAAGGTAATGTCAATCCCACCTCTGGCTCAGGCCCCGGTAATGCTAATAATTCGGAGTGAGAATGTTTACAATGATTATAATCAGAATAGTAATGCTAATGCTTTCGACCCCAATGATGATTAAAACACCAATAAGGCGTTTTAGTTCCCGAAATTGTAAGCCAAAAAGGTGATCTAAGCGACTTCAATAGGAACCTCCCCTCCAAAATTTGGATCAAACTCCTTTTAGGTTGGACCTGAATGAATTGCTGGCTTGCTTGCCGGATAAAATAAATGAATAGATCATGCCGTGAAAACAGAAAATAGTCAAAGAAGCTTGTTTGCTGTTCATACAAATGACTATGATTCTCCATCTCAATGTAGCAAGTGCAGAGCCGGTCCACATCAGCGGCGAGCAGCGTCTGAAGTTAGCCCACGAGCGCGCTCAGGAGAAACAGGCTTCTCTCCAAAAGGATCTGGAGGCCAAGCGAGCAGGCGGCGTCCGCGTCAAACAGGAGCCCCTCAGCGACGGCGAAGCCGAGCCCATGGACACGTCCTCTCCTCCGGCGTCCCGGTCGGGCGTCCACAACGGCTCCCTCAACGGTTACGCTGGCGCCGAGCGCGCGAACGGCGGGAGCCCCGCCAACGCGCCCTCGCCACAGTTGCTGGACTTTGTGACAAAGACCTTTGGTAAGAATCCCGTGCTGACGCTGAACGAGCTCAAGAGGCTCTTTAGCCTCCACTTGGCCGCCATGCCGGCAGGACACATCCCCTTCGGACCCGTGTCGGACCACATGCTGCAGGACGCCGTGCTGCTCAGCCGCTGCAGACAGATCATGGTGCCTGTGAGTCTTTATGCCGGTCAACTGTGCTCCCTCTTCTGGTCAATTTTAGGTCTTTGACTTTTATTTTCCCTCTTTGGTCTCTTGGTTGCAAATGTGCATTCGTGAAAATATGCTGTTCTTTTAGTCATTTCAACCAGCTACTTTTGTCCTCCCTGCTCTGCGAATGTCTTCAGTACTACTTTATTGTTGCTTTTAGATGTTGCCGTGGCGCACATTGAGTTGTCCTGTGTCGGAAGTGTGTGATATATAAATGTTTGCTTTGCTGAAACTTAACACTGTTGTTTCTCCGAAATGTATGCAGTTCCCCGCTCTGACCGCAGCTTCTGCCGATGAGCAAAAGGTGTTCGGCTTGTGGGAAACCGGAGAGGACATCGATAAGGTAAACCAGAGAAGAAAACAACCATGTAAACAAATCCGAAAAAAAAGGCTTTTTAAACGACCGTGTAGTAATGCGTTTTGAAAAAATGTAAATATGGCCTAAAAAAAGACCATGTATAGCAAAGGTTTTTTTTAACGACCAGGCTACAGTTCCCACAGGTCCTTAAAGTTCATAAAAATCCATAAAAAGTTGTAAAATTATGTTCTTAATTGCCCTAAATTTTCCCGGCTTAGGCGTTTTTAAAAATTATATATTTTACAACCCTGTATAGTAAGGCGTTTTAAGAGTAAATCATGTAAATAAGGCCTAAAAGACCGTGGAAAGTAAAGGTTTTTTTTAAACCATGTATAGTAAGGCGTTTTCAAAGAAAATAATCATGTAAAGGCCAAAAGACCATGTATAGTAAGGCGTTTTTTCCCCCCACAACCATGTATCATAAGGCTTTTTTTTTTAAACGACCATGTGTCGTAAGGCCTTTGTAAAAAAAAAAAAAAAAAAAAAAAATCACGGAAATAAGGCCTTAAAGACAATGAATAGTAAGGCTTTTTTTAAAACATGGACCGTAAGGCGTTTTCAAAGAAAATAAAACTATTGCAATGGATCGTTTCATTTTACCACAACAAAAACAGCTCATCTTATGCTCAGCTAATGTATTTCTCCTGGGGGCGGGGGGGGGGCATAGCATCGGCACCTGCTTTACGAGATGTTCACTAAAACCTACGGTGTGAAACGGAGCGCGGTGCAAGCACGACTTGGCGAAGAGTTGGGCGACGTCGCCAAGGCCGACGTGGACCGGCTGCTCAAGGTGAATCCCTGCCGCTGGGACGGCGAGCAGTGTCTTTCGTCTATTCATTCCAAAAAAATAACTGACTGTTCTTTTTCATTTTATGAATTTTTGTTGTTCTCCAGGAATGCTGCAGCAGCCACGCCGGTATGTGGTACCTGAAGGGAACCATCCAGTCTTGACCCAAGCAGCCTGCCCCCGGGGGCACCCTTAGTCAAACACAGTGTCCCAAGGGAACGCGACCGAAGTGAGAGCCGGTCACGACGACGACATCGTCTGCCGCTGGGAACGATGCAAAAGAGGTCTCTGAAGGACAAGCGCTCGAAACACAAATGCCTCATTATTTAAGTCGGGCCCCCTCCCCGATGCACTTTTTTTTTTTTTTTTTTTTTGAAAGGCTTACACGGCTGCCAATTTGCGTTTATCCACTAACATGAAGGTTCAGGATGCGGCAAGACACAAGGAGCCTCAGTCGTGTAAATCACTTGAGGGCGCTTTTCTTTAATCACGAACCCCAAAACGGAGAGACTAAAACCGTGAAGGTCATTTCCGACTTTTTGCACCTGGACTTGTGTTCACCACGACGGCGGTTTGATAGAAGGGACAAACGTTTCACTGCTACATTTTGTTTGCCTTTCACCTGGATGCACAGGAACAGTTGTGGATGATCAATAAAACGTAAACGTTTCGTTGAAAGTGTTGAGTTTGGCGGCGCAAGTTATTTGAATATTTTAAGAGACATTGGAATTCAGAAATGTATATAAAGTGAACTGAGTTAAACTGTGGTCCACTGTTTTGCGCAGAGGTGCAAGGCTCGCTCACTCCAGCCCTCCTGTGAGGAGCCTGCAGGCTCCCACCAACCCTGGACCCTTGCCCCCCCCCCCGACCAGGTGAACACAAAGGCGAAGGCCGTGACAAAGCGAGTAACGACCATGTACAGTAAGGCGTTTTTAGCCCGGAAGAAAAACAGACCATGGATAGTATGGTGTTTTGGGCACAAAAACCCCCAACAATAAGGCGTTTTTAGCC